TTACAGAGAAATCAGGCACTAGGGAAATGTCTGGAGATCTATAAAGATGACACCAACTAACAATCTAAGCAACAGAGGAGAGGCTACCTTAAATGCCCTCCCCTGATATGAGATTGATGACTGACTTATATGCCACCTGATAGCCCTCATCCAGCAGCTGGTGGAAGTAGAATCAGACACCCACAACTAATCACTGAACTGAACTGGAATCCAGATGCAGAGAAGGATGAGTGATGAGCAAAGGGGATCAGACCAGGCTGGTGAAACCCACAGAAACAGCTGACCTGAACATCGGGGAACTCTTGGTCCCCAGACTGATAGCTGGGACACCATCATGGGACTGATCCAGACCCCAGGATCATGGGTTTCAGTGAGGAAACCTCAGAAATCTATGGGACCTTCTGTAGTAGTTCAGTACTTATCCCTAGCATAGGTGTGGACTTTGGGAGCCCATTCCACATAGAGGAATACTCCCTGAGCCAAGACACATGGGGGTGGGCCTAGGCCCTATCCCAAAGGATAGACTATGATGATACCCTATCGAAGGCCTCACCATGGGGGGGGGGAACAGAAAGGATATGTGATATGTAGGGTTTTAGTTGGAGGGGTGGTGGTAGGGGAGGATGGGAGGGAGAAGGGAACTGTGATTGACATGTAAAACAATCTTGTTTCTAATTCAAATAAAAAAAATCTGCAAAAAAATTTACAAGTTTTCCTCTTTAATGAATTTCCTACTTTGAGGATATAGTATTATTCAATACTATTTTCTACATTAAAAATTTTATACATAGAACAATTTTGTTCTAATTTTCTTTATATATAATTTTTAAGAAAACAACATTTAAAGTTTGTATATAGTTCCTTGTAACATTTACTTTTTAAGTTAACTATATTTTATTTCACTATCAACCAGAAAGGCTTTACATTTCCCTGATGGCTAAGGATGTTGAGCCATTTCTTAAGTGTCTTTCAGATTCCTCTGTTGAGAATTCTGTTTAGTTCTGTACTCCATTTTTTAAATTGAATTATTTGGTGTTTTGGTGACTAGATTTTTGAGTCCTTCGTATATTTTGGATATCAGCCCTTTGTCTGATGAGGGGTTGGTAAAGATCTTTTCCCATTCTGTGGGCTACTATTCTATCTTGTTGACAATGTCTTTTGCCTTATAGAAGCCTCTCAGTTTCAGGAGTTCCCAGTTATTAATTGTCAATCTCAGTGTCTGCTACTGGCATTATGTTCCATAAGTGGTCTTCTGTGCCAATTCATTCAAGGGTACCTCCCACTTTTTCTTCTACGATGTTCAGTGTGGCTGAATTTATGTTGAGGTCTTTGATCCATTTGGACTTAAGCTTTGTGCATGGCAATATATATGAATCTCTCTCCAATCTTCTACACATCAGCATCCAGTTATGCCAGCACCATTTGTTGAAGATGCCTTCTTTTTTCCATTGTATACTTTTAGCTTCTTTGTCAAAGATCAGGCGTTCATAAGTATATGGGTTAATATCAGGGACTTCCACTTGATTCCACTGGTCTACCTGTCTGTTTTTGTGCCAACACCAAGCTAGCTGTTTTCAGGACTATAGCTCTGTAATAGAGCTTGAAGTCAGGGATGGTGATGCCTCCAGAAGTTCCTCTATTGTACAGGGTTGTTTTGGCTATTCTGGGTCTTTTGTTTCTCCATATAAAGTTGAGTATTGTCTGAAGAATTGTGCTGGGATTTTGATGAGGATTGCATTGAATCTGTAGATTGCTTTTGGCAAGATTGCCATTTTTACTATGTTGATCCTACCTATCCAAGAGCATGGGAGATCTTTCCATTTTCTGGTATCTTCTTTAATTTATTTCTTTAAAGCCTCAAAGTTATTGTAATACAGGTCTTTCACTATTTTGGTTAGAGTTACCCCAAGATATTTTATGTTGTTTGTGGCTATTGTAAAGGGTGATGTTTCTCTGATTTCTTTCTCAGCCTCTTTATTGTCTATATATACCAGGGCTACAACTCTGCGATATCATCTTACACCCATCAGAATGGCTAAGATCAAAAACACCAACAACAGCTTATGCTGGAGATGATGTGAAGAAAGGGGAATGCTTCTCCACTGCTGGTGGGAGTGAAAACTTGTACAGCCACTTTGGAAATCAGTATTGTGGTTTCTCCAGAAAATGGGAACCAGTCTATCTCAAGATCCAGCAATTTCACTCTTAGGCATATACCCAAAGGATGCACATTCATACAAGAAGGAAATCTGTTTACCTATATTCATAGCAGCATTATTTGTAATAGCCAGAAGGTGGAAGCAACCTAGATTTCCCTCAAATGAAGAATGGATACAGAAAATGTGGTACATTTACACAATGGAGTACTACTCAGCTGAAAAAACAAAACAGTGAAATCTTGAAATTTGCAGGCAAATGGATGGAACTAGAAGAAACCATCCCAAGTGAGGTAACCCAGTCACAGAAAGACAAGCATGGTATGTACTCACTCATATATGAATATTAGACATAGAGAAAAGGATTACCAACCTACAACCCATACCTCCAGAGAATCTAGGAAATGAGGAGGACCCTAAGAGAAGTGAAGTCCCCCAGTGAAGTGGAAAGAATAAGAGTCCCTGAACAAATTGGAAGCATGGGGGAAGGGGGCGGGAGCTAGGAGAAAGAGGAAGGGAGAAGAGGAGGGGGAAGGAGAACATGAGGGAGCAGGAAGATTGAGTGGGGAGAGGAATGGAGAAGAGCAAGAAAGGAGACACATCAATAGAGGGAGCCACGATAGGCTTAAAGAGAAATCTGGAACTAGGGAATTCTACAGAGCTTCTGGCTTCTCACTCCCGCTGAAGACATTTTCATAGCATGTGATAATTAGCAGAAGCCTCTATTGAAATGGTTTTTCTTTCTAGTTGTTCTCAAGGACACAGTGTTTTCAATACACTCTGCTGGTTGCTTTTTTCTATGTCACAAGGCCATTGGGCCAGCCTGTCCCTAGACAAGAGGCCTTGGAGGAAATTTTGGGAAAACATGCTTAGGCCTGAAATGAGGAAGCACATCAATTCTTTCTTCAGAGCCAGCTTCTCAGGAAGCTTAAACAGCACATGCAATTAACAAATATAATGCATATTATCATGTATGTTTAACATAAAATCCAAAGGTGACTGTATTGAGATGTGGAGTCTTTAGGTCTTGAGCACATCCATCTCACAGATGAGATCAAGTCCCTTAGGAGGAGAGAAAGCTTTCTCACCATGTCTTCTACTTGAGAATGCATGAGATGCCATTTCTGAACAGTGAACACTGTCAGACACTGAATCTACTGGTACGCTGAGCTTGGACATTCCAGACTCCAGAACTGAGTAATATACTTCTGTTGTGTATAAATTACCCGGTCTAATAGAGCAAAGGATTGCCAGACTACAATTCACACCTCCAGAGAAGCTAGCAAACAAGGAAGACCATAAGAGAGGCATACATAGTCCCATGGTGAAGGGAGAGGAGACAAGATCTCCTGAACAAATTGGGAGCATGGGGGAGGGGGAAGGAGATAGGAGAAGGAGGAGGGGAAGAGAGCGGGGTGGGGGGGAGGAAAACATGAGGGATCAGAAAAACTGAGTTGGGAGATAAATAGAGGAGATCAAGAAAAGAGACACATCAATAGAAGGAGCCATTATAAGTTTAAAGAGAAATCTGGACTAGGGAATTATACAGAGATCCACAAGGATGATCCCAACTAGAATTCTAAGCAATACTATAGAGGCTACCTTAAATGCTCTTCCCCTATAATGAGAATTTATGACTGCCTTATATGTCATCCTAGAGCCTTTATCCAATAGCTGATGAAAGCAGAAGCAGAGACCCACAGCCAAGCACTGAGCCAAACTCCTGGAAATCCAGTTTCAGAAAGGGAGGAGTAAGGAACAAAGGGGTCAAGACCATGCTGGGAAAATCCACAGAAACAGCTGACCTGAGCAATTGGACCCCAGTTGGACAGCTGGGGAACCAATATAGGACCAAACCAGCCCCTCCTGAACGTGGTGTCAGCTAGGAGCACTGGGCAGTCTATGGGCCTTCTGGCAGTGGAACCAAGATGTATCCCCTAGTGCACGAATGGACTTTGGGGGCCCATTTCCCATGAAGGGATACTCTCCTAGCCTAGATACACAGGGGAGGGCCTAGGCCCTGACCCAAATAACTGGAAATATTTTATGATTCTCTCATGGAAGGCCTCACCATACCTGGGGAGTGGATGGGAGGTTGGTGGGGGGCATGGGAGGATGGGAGGGAGAGGGAACTGGGATTGATATGTAAAATAAGATTGTTTCTAACTTAAATAAAATTTATTTTAAAAAAGAAAAATACTTCACTACCCATTTTACAGAATTTAAGATTTTCTTGGCAATTTAATACATGGCCATTTAAAATAATTCTACATGTATTTGAAAAGATGTAGCAAAATTCTTTGACAGAAAAGTGATCATCTGGACATATATACCCACAAAACAGTCTGTAAAAAGTTAAGATAATAAATTGTATACTACATATATTTTACTACAATTTAAAAGAAAAGTTGGGTATGGTGGCTCAGATCTGTAATCCCAGTATCTGCAAGACAGGGGCAGGGAGATTTCAAATTTTAGGTTTGTCTGTCTCAGAAAACAAAATAACCAAACAAATCAATACCTCTCCCAAGAACACATTTCCTTTTAAAACACAATTGTGTAACTAAGCTTTATAGTTTATTTATTCATGATAGAAAAATTGACTTTTAGAAAAACAATGATAAATTTCTACATAGATTTAGAAGAGATGGTTAAAGAGGAAGGGGATGAGAATATAGATTATAGAGTATAGATGACATTAAATCAACATCCACATTATGTAACTTCATATACATAAAGCTTTCTATTTATTTCTAACAGACTTTTATACTGTATATCCTGAGTAACTGATAAATATGAAGATTAAAAGCCTGTATAGCTACACAATATAGGATATAACTATAATAAGGAGGGGGAAGTATAAGCCTTTGTTGTCAATATAGGTCAAGGCAGAGCAAGTGATATTATTTAACAAAAAGGGTTTTAAGAGATGATTGTACCTCAATGATTAATAATTAAAGGTAGGTGAAATGCTCAGAATAAATCACAAAAGGGAATCTTGAAAGACTTCTAAAAAGCAAAAAGATATGGAGTGGAAAATTATCTGAAAAAAAAAAAACCAACAACTTAGTTCAGTAGAATGAAAATACAGCAATAAAAAGCAGTTAAATAGATGACAAATCAGTTGGAACTAATATACTTGAAATCTGCTACAAAAAATATTGACAAACTCAAATACAATTTGCTCCATAACACCAAAAATTCTAACAAAGCTGACTCATAATCCAGAAAGAGAAACAAACATAAAATATATTCAAGATAAATGGCAAAAAGCTCCAAAATTTTTGAAAAATATAAATTTAAGATGTTTGTTAGAACTGTTAATAGAATAAGTTTAAAAAGCCACCAAACAAGTTGAGATATAACATGTTTAAGTTACTGCAAATCAAAGATAAAAAGTTGTCTGAATACAACCAGAAGGAAAAAAACACACTCTGTATAGTAGAAGCAAAGTTCAAAGCACTGATGTAGATACTTGAAACAAACAATAGAAAAAAGAAGACAAAGTGCCTAGGAATTAAAATGTATTCCTAATAATAATATTTAAATTACTTGAAAGTAGAATAGCAAAGCAACTAAGTAGAGTATGAACAACAGAAAACAAATAATAATAAGTAGATCTAGATCTAGTCTTACTAGTAATTATATTTAATGTTAATGGATGAAACATACTAACCCCCAGACAGAAAAAAAATAAAAATAAACTAAAACATGCTCCTTATTTACGAGCTAATCGATGTCCTCTGCCAGTCTGAACCATAAAGGAAGGTAAAATTGGAAAAATTAAAGTTGTAAAGAGGCAGTTCTGTATTTTCTTTTCAAAGTATGTCTCTTACCATGTGGTACTGTGGTTTGGAAAGGGCGACTTGGGCTTTTCAGGTTCCATAAAGTCAAGCTACCATCCGAATGGCTGCACATGAATTGTTTGCCTTCATGATGCCAATCAATTGAATGAATAGCCTGATAAAATGATGAAAAGCAAATACAGGGGGAAAGTAGATATGTCATATATTCTGAAAATACTTTGACATAAAAATACTGAAACATGTTAAAATATTTGTTTTCTCACCCTGAATGGGCTGTCTTTGGCTTCAACCGATTACAGACCTTTAAAGGCTACCAAAACTCATTTCCTTATATAAACAACGATTCTGAAAATTTTTAACGACATTAGATCCCAGGACATTTTGATATAAATCCTATGCCCTTCCTATGTTTGAAAAATTATTTACACAGGAGTAAAAGTATAGTTATCAGAAGATAATTTCTTGTAAGATGTAGGCCTAGTATCACTTAAAGCAGATAATTTAAAAATAATTTGAGCTAGCACCTGAATGCATTCTATATGCCAAATCTCCATGATATGTACTTTACATAAAATATATTATTTAATAATATAAAGGCTTTTACTTTATTTTACTATTATTTCTCAGTTTACATATGGTGAAATTAGCCTAGAGACTAATATACTCATTTGCTTTTTAAAGCCATGGAAGTCAAAGCCAAACTCCTCATAAAACCCATATTCTTAACTGTTGTACAGCATTGTCTCAAGCATATTGTTCAACAGTAATTACTTCATTTCTAAAGTTGTATTAATCCTAGTGGTAGTATAGTATCTTCTAAGAAGTAAACTTTAAAGAAAGATCTGCTGAATTAGTGAGTAATTAACATTGCATTTCCAAACTTTTGGTGTTCTTTTTGAATAAATTAATGATCATAATTTAACCACTGTATTAAATACAATGAGATAAGTCCCAGTGGATAAGAAAATTAAAAAAGGTATATAAAACATCTCCTCCCACAAGAAACATAGAATGAAGACCAATATGGGTGAATATTAATTATATTTATTGTTCAGAACTTTAAGCACATGTGTGTTTATACAGTTGGAATTCTTTATGTGACCAAGTGTGAAATTTTCAGCCAATATGTTTAATATTAGTTACAGCTAACAGATAACTTGACTAATCATTAAACATAAAGGAAATGAGAAATGATTCAGACATCAATATAAGACTAAACTGAACATAAAAGGCAACATGAAATTATGGACTTGTAGAACTTTGTTTTTCTCTTCCTTCCTTTTCTTTTCAGTTTTCTTCACTCTAGACATAATTTCTATGTAGAGACTTTTTTCTTAACAGTCTCCAACAAAGGCATTTAGAGACAAAACAATCTTCATTGCCTTCTCTGTTTCTTTTCCCTTCTGCAGGTAGTTCAAACAAAATAGCATTTCTTTTGTCTACTTTGATGAACCTCAATCAATTTTAAATTCTCTAAAACTACTTGGTCAGCAAAAATAGAGGATGAGAAAGTATATAGACCTAAAACCTCCTCCTAACCCAGTAATATCCTACCCATTGGAGAGGAGAGAAAAAAATTAAATTATAGCTACTACTCTAAATAAAAGAATTACAGTAACTATATCAGTGATGCAAACATTGTCTTGTTTTAGAGATCAGGGTGTCAAATAGTGTACAACTAAGGAGCTGGTAACTGAGCTCAGGGTGGGTATTTGATTTTTGTTTTTTTAGTTATATCACATTCTTTCTATCACAACAAGGACTTACTAGAAACCAAATGTCAATAATCAATTCAAGAAAAAATATAAAACAAAAGACTTTGAAGGAAAATTATTAATCATATTTTATCAATGGTGACTTTTTCTTGGAAACAAAAATTTAAAAACTATATAGCAATCTGACGAAAAGAAATTTGTAGTTCCCATGGAATCAAAATATTACCCTCATGCCAAATTGAAAGATTTCTCTGAGATTATTAAAGAAATATCAATATAAAGAAACAAAAAAATGACTGTTGTAGAAGAAATCCTTTCCTATTTATTTATTCAGAAAAATTCCACTCTGTATTCTAGGCTTGTCTGAAACGTACTATGTAGCTCTAGTTGGCTTTGAACTTATGGAAATCCTTCTGCCTCACCTTCCCAAGTAACTGGCAGTAGAAGCATAACCTACAACACCTAGCTGGAAATAATTTTTAAGCAAATTATTTCACAATATTGGATTTCTAAACAAAAAATCAATTTATCTATGACTATTCATCAAGCAAGAGTTATATAATATAGTTCAAATAGCTTTTTGGTGCCTACAGAACAAATAGGATTTTGAAATACAAAAGAGACAAGAGATTTCATAATGAGAAAGGCAAATACCAGCAGCAAAATCTTGAAGGTAAGAAGTAAATTATATCATTAAGAGAAAGTGAGTAACATGTCCCAAATGTGTGAACTGTTTAATAAATAGTACTTTAAAAAAAAAGCACCCCTGCTTTAATCTCATTTCCAGACCCTGTTAACAGGGAGTCATTTGAAGTCACATGATCAGATTATATCTTTGAAAGATAATCTACTAGTGAAGAATATACAGAAAGGTAGATGTTAAGACAGTCATAGCCAGTCAAGCAATTTAACATAGAGTACTAGGTATCTAAATGAGGACAAAGAGGAAATAAGAGAATGGTAAGAATAAGAAAGACAAAAATCAAAAAGCCTATAAAAACTGATTGCATATGATACACGAAAGAGAGCAACATAGAAAGCATTACTATGGGCATTCTAAACTGGTTTTAAAAGGAAAAGAACATAAAAAGTAGTATGAGTAATCAAATATAAAATCAGTTCTGGTGATTTTTATTTAGATTTACATATTAAATTGCTAGACATTTAAATATAAAGCTTAAGAGGGGTAAAGGCTAGAGATTTTTAGTTGTATTCCTTATACAGGTAGTATTAGAAATGAGAGCCTGAAAAAAAAAAAGAAATGAGAGCCTGTACAGATAAACATAAATTAGAGGAGGCAACAAAAGACAGAGGTTTTTGTTTTTTGTTTTTGTTTTTCATGTGGGCGGGGCTCAGTACATCATTCAGCCATCCTCAAACTAGGGACATATCTTGTCTTCCTGCTTTAGTCTCAAAACATCTAGTATGTGCCAGTGTACCAGACTTGAGCATCTATAATTTAAATGAATCAAAGATGGAAAAAAGAGGCATAATAAATAAATAGGCACAAACAAGAAAAGAAACAATTTTTAAAATGGACTTTGAAAACTGACAGAGAAGACCATGATGTATAGTACTGAGAAGAGTATATGTGATTTATAAAATCATCTTAGAGACTTATTAAAGATAACTTCTAGATATGACAAAGTGCTAATAAAGTTTGAAAAGTTTTGCAGTGAAATGAAGTCTATAACTATCTCCATTAGAAGAATAACAGGACCTACAAATGTGCAGTATAATACATGATATAATTTATTTATGTGCATATATAAGTCAATATGTAAAATAATCTCTGTGTAAGTTATATATACAATCATACTCTATTTTTAATTTATAATATTTTTAATCTTTATATAAAAGTTCAATTTTAATATTAATATACTTACTTTTCAAGGTTGGAAATTTTATTTTATATATATTTTAAGCAAAAGAAAAACATAATTTTTAGCATTTTCCTTTTCGTTTCCCATTGATTTAATCTTTTCCAGTTCAATCTTCCTGTGCTGGTCCTGGGCCCTTCCCCATGTGTCCAGGGCCAGAGTGTAACCCTTCACGTGGGATGGGCTCTCAAAGCCCCTTCTTGCACCAGGGAAAAATACTAATCCACCACCAGAGGCTCCCTGGAGTGCAGAGGCCTCCTTATTGACATCCATGTTCAGGGGTCTGGATCAGTCTGTACTGGCCTCCCAGACATATAGTGTTTGGATTTTTCTCTAGCTCTTGGTCTTGAAAAAGGGAGAAATATTGATAGCACATCTTTGCATTCTGTGTATTTAACAACAGCAAAAATGCTAGCTTAGCTCTGTTGAGTCATTTTACCTTATAATTCAGATGTACTGAAGTGGATATGAGGAACACAATTGTATGATATTGCTGGCATAATTGTTTTTCACCAATCATGACCAAATTGCCCAGATACTACACAATTAACTTCTGGACTCTTTGGCAATGTAACTGTCTCATATATATGATAAACTATTAGTTTAAGAGAACCATTAAGAAATGAACTAGATTTTATGAAATAGAATTTTTAGCAAGATTTGGTTTTCACTTTTTAGTAATGTGTATGCACACATGTGTGAGTATGTGCACATGGGTATAGTGCCTGAGGAGACCAGAAGAAGGAATCAGATTCCATAATCTGGAGTTACATGTAGTTGTTTCTAACACCCATATCCTGTCCAAGAGCAATACATGGTCTTGACTATTAAGACATTTTTTTCTAGCCCATGAAATATATCTTTAGGCACCAAAACTTTAAAATTTTAATTGTTATTGTATGATAGGAAAGAAAATGTTGTGTATTCTAATGTAACTACAAGTCCATTGGGTGATATTTTTTTATTCCTCTAGTCTAAAAAAAGTTTTTAGTCTAAAAGAAATAGACTAAAAGACTACTTTTCTAAAAAAAAAAAAAAAGACTACTCTTTTTCTGTTTATTTGCATGCTCCCTTAAATTATGTGTCAACCTACCCATATAAGAGTGGATGTTAACTAGGCAGAGATTTTTCATCTGTATTTCCCTTTGGTCTTCTCCCACTCCTACCTTACTTCTAATCTAAGGGAATAAGTGATCATCTTTGTTTCCAAGCTATAGAAATTATTTCTCCTTTCATCTCCCTCAGCTGCATTGGCTTCATATTAGTTTCTTCTAAATGGGAAAATAATTAAAGGCCTAGAATCAAGAGTCTAACTGAAAAGCCATTTGGGAGAAACCTAATTAAGACTCAATTATATATAAGAAAATTTACCTCAAGATACTTCTAGTCATTTATTTGGTCTCATGCACAAAATATTTCATTATTCTAAGAAGATAAGTAACTGTCTTGAATTCTTAGCCACAGGAAAAGAAGTTTTTAGGAAATTTAAATAGTGCTTTTAGAAACCCTCAAGTCAAGAAGCAAGATGTGAGTGTGGAACCTACATAAAAGAAAGGGAATGAGACAAATAAAGAATACATCATAAGGAAAGAATATATACAAAGCCAAAAACAGGTAATAATCTCCCAAATTAGCTGTCAAGGCAGAATTCCCACTCAAACATAATCAACAGTTTAAACTTACATAAATAACAAAAGAATACTAAACACTAAGAAAGGACAGGTAGTTCCCAGTGATTAAAAATATTTCAGAGCAGAAAAGTGACACCTAGTCCCCAACTTTTTAAAAATGTCAGCAGAAATCACTTACCTCATCATAATAAACTCTCAGTTCTGCTCTTTTAGATTTCAAGTCCCAGAATACTACAGTACCATTTTCATAACCTATTAACAGCTGGAAAACAGTAAAACAACCATTTTCTTAATTCTGACATTAATTTTAACTGTGTTCAAATAAAAAGTATCATTATACTACTATAAAGAAAAGCCATGCTGTACAACACAGTCCATTTATACTACCTTTCTAGCACTTAAATATGTTTCTTATTTAAAATTATTTTAAAACAAAGATGTTGATGCAGCAAATAAAAACAAAATTTTAAAGGGTCAAGAACCTTTGCAGCAATATAAACATTCTCTATCATATTAATATTAGCTCATTGTAATCTATAGTATAAACTTGACAGGTTCAAAATCACCCTGGAGACAAATGTATGTGGGGGACTTTCTAGATTAAATTAGTTGAGATGAGTAGACCTATCCTAAATGTAGGCAGCAACATTCCATGGGCTAGGGCTCTGGACCACCTAACCAGGAGAAAGCTTGCTGAGTGTAAGCATTCATCACTATTTACTTCCTGACTATAATGTGATCTGCAGCGTCATACTTCTGTCTGTATGCCTTCCCCACCATGACAGACTTCCCTTCAACTACAAACTAAAATAACCTCTTAACTCCATAAATTGCTTTGGTCAGATATTTTGTTGAAGCAATAAGGAAAGTAACTACCAAGACACTGGTGTTTATATTTAAATCAATATAAAGTATTTGAAAAGTAATTGTCTTCCTTTTAAAATAAAAGAATTTGAAACAGGTAAAAATTTAAATATTATCAAGGAAATACATTTTGTACTTATCCTAGTTTCATGTATATATTTTGCCTGTATTGTATGTGCTCCACATGTATGCCTGGTGCCTGTTGAGGCCAGAGGAGAGTGTCATAGTCCTTGGAACTGGAGTTACACTTAGTTATGAGCTGCCAAGTGGGTGCTGAGATCTGAACCAAGATTATCTTCAAGAGTAACAAGTACTCCAACCCATTGCTCTAACCCCAAGAGTTATTTTTAAGCTATATTTTATACCCAAATGTTGTTATAGAACTACACATGATAATGTTTAAATTGATTTTACAAAAATGGTGAGCTTTCTGACATGCTAACTTAAAGGAAATTACTTTAAAATGAAGGGTTTAGAGGGAAGAAAGAGAAGGGGGAAATGATGTAATTAATCTCAAAATAAAAAAAAAACTTTTAAAATGTTCAATATCCTTAGCCATCATGAAGATTCAAATTAAAACTATTTTGAGATTTCATCTTTACCCAAACAGAAGGGCTAAGATAAAATAAATAACACCCCCAACCAACAACAACAAATGCTGATGTAAAGTGGAGAAAGGGAAAACTTACTACTGATGTACTACTAGTACAGCCACTGTGGTGGTTCATTAGAAAGTGAGAAATAGGCCTACCATGTGATCCAGCCATACCACCCATGAAATATGCAAAGGACTGTACATCTTACTACAGAGATACTTGCTCCTCCATGTTCATTGCTGCTCTTACAATAGACAGCAAATGTTAACAGCCTAGATGTCCATCAACTGAAGAAATACATAATGAAATGTGATGCATTTATACAATGCTAATTATCCAGTTATAAAGAAAAATGAAATTATAAAACATTCAGTTAAATGGATAGAACTGGGGGGAAAAAGTCCTGAGTGAGATAACCCAGACCCAGGAAAATACTCTATGAGATGTAATCCATAGCTGGCATTGTTATCGGGGCCAAGGACACTTGGCTATACAATAGGCCCTAGGGGAGACCCTACCACTATTATTTTGCTAAATGGACTTTGTATTAAACCAACTCCTAATGATTTAGTGCTATACCAATAGATTAATTCATCTCTCACCCCTCATCAGAAAAGGTTTGTGTATTATATGAAAATTAAGCCAGAGGGCTGCTACTGGTCAATGTTCAGAAAATATTTGATTGCTGATTAGATGGGTTTAAAAAGGGAGAAAGAGAGAAAACAAGAAGTTGTATGAATGGGGGTGGGGTTGAATATGGAAGGAGTTGGGGATGGGCATGAACAAAATATATGAAATTATCAAAAAATTAACAAAAATATTGTTAAATGCTACATATTATGGGATACACATAAATATTAATTGAAATTTATAATTTTATATATACATATGAAAAGAAAATTACTAATATTGCCAACAACTAACCAATGTTAAATGGCAGGAATCTTTGTCTCATTTCTGACCAAAGAGAAAAACAAACTCAGCATTAAGGAGGATATATTCATAGCTTCATGTGCGTTTTACAGTTTCAGGTCCACAAAGTTCTTTTTTTTTCCATTTTTGTTGCTTTCTTTTTCTGTTAATATGGAAAGCATATTGATTTTTATAATCATCCAAGGATGAAGAAAATTGGTTGTGATATTTTGTGACGTTTCATTCAGATTTTGCTTGTTTATTCTACTGAGATGTGGTCTTGTTATGCCAACCTGAAATTCATCCAGTCTCTCAGAGTTCTGAGAAGATAAGTATAAGCCAAGGGTCTGGCCTCATTTATTGTTTTTCTGCTTTTGTTTAATTAATTAGTTAAATAATTGAGACAGCTTCTCCCTAAGCTGGTCTTGAACTATGTAGCCAACATGACCTTGAACTTCTGATCCACCTGCCTCTACCTCTACAGTACTGGCATGTGCTTCACCATACTCAGTTTATCTTTTTTAACATAGGAAGGGGTTTCTTTATAATATTTCCTATACATATAATGCTCTTTAATCATATTCAGCCCTTTCTTATCCTTACCTCCCCAACTTTTCTACTTACACACCTCTGGTAGTCTCTCTTTTACTTTCATGTTCTTTACTTTCCTCCTATTCTACTTTTTACTCTTTACAATGATTTTCTATTACCAAACCTGGTTCAAGATAATTTTGCAGAATCCACACAATGGAATCCAGAAAGGATACAGCCTTGCCTACTACCCCTCTATCACTGTGTCATCCAATCTAATTGTCCTAATCTCTGCAATGACTTCAGAGATGCAGGATAAACTTTGATAATATCAGCAGGTGGAGATAGTTTCAGGAACTTTTGTTCTCTCTTCCTACTCTACCTCTAATTACAATGTCAGGAAACCAAAGAGTCTTAATCCAAATCACTGAGCATATCTGTCCAAATTACAGTTAAAGAAAAAATGTTGTATTTCATGCAGATAGGTGGTATACTTTGAGCTTAGTCTTGGTCTAATATTTCATTTATCATCTGGTTACTTAGTTCATATAACTTATCACTTATGGGAGGACCACAATGTTGTTTTTGTATTTGCCAATATTAATGCCTTCTCTGATCTTTTAGATAATTGTCCTGAAATTTTTTTCTTCTACAAATGATCAGTACTGTTCCTACATGTATTTATACTCTATACCCATTTACAGAGTATTTCAGAATCTATCTTCAAGAGCAACAGAATCCCCTTTAATCACTATATTCTGGATCTGAAAATTGACTTTCATTTGGAAGATCAATGAGATGTGATTTTTTTCCATGTTGGTGATAAATATTAAGAGAAAACTACTCTTTACTTTTTTCTGATTATGCAAATCAAACAAAATCCCAAGTCAAATGCCCCAACTAATTTTTGTCCCTAGAAATGGCATGCAATATTATTTAATACCAGGGATTCATGCATTGCCACTCTAGCCTAGCTGCTTGTTGCAATAATTTATACCCATGACACCAGATGGTTAAATATTGCCACCTGGCCTCTACCAATCTAGATATTTAATCCTCATAGATATTATGGAGACTGGCTCTTTGCCATCATTTCCTACTGTCAACAAAGGTCTTTAAAAAAAAGATAGCCACTACCTCGTTTTGTAAATGTGTTGCCTGCTTTTCCAGAGTACTCTGCCTTACTAAGTAGAAATATATCCTTAGAAGACTTTTAGGGAGCACCAGGAGGTGACTTAGTTAATACTCTCAATTTTCATTTCTTCTGATCCAATCCCTTTTTAAACATTATACCAGAAGGTGTAGTTGGTATCTTTAGTTACCATATGTCTGTTGAGTCAAGGCTTCAAAGGATTTTTCCTTTAAACTACTATGGCAAATGTCCTCACCAAAGAATTATATCCTAAGATGTGCCCTATATAACGAACTGACTTCTGTATAAGCTCCAAGTTCAAACCCTTAAAAACCATTGCTAAACACATTCCTCTGGTGACTGACAACATTAGAGCCCTCTGTTTCTTTTGTAGATATTCTACTTTATGTATACTTTATTTTCATATAGAGAAAGACTTATGTATTGATGTTAAATTGTGGTGAGGTCTGATTCTAGTTTTAGACCTGAGTTAATGACTCCAGGAATCCTTGTGAATACAAATATCAGACTCCTATAGAAGAATACTTTCTCTAAGTAACAGTGAAAGTGATGGTTCTGATGGTCAGATGGGCTCATGGAAATTGAGGCTGGTACAAAGAGTTAGTTTTCTCAGGTTTATCTTTATAAGTTTACCTATCCTAGGTATGATAAAAGCATGCTGCAAAAAAGTCACACATTCATTCAAAACTTCAATATGTAGCCTTATTTTTGAAATAAGGTCTTTTAAATGTATAATTACTTAAGAATTTTGAGATGAATCATCCTGGACTTAAGAGTGGGCCCAGCCCCAAATACAATGGCTGCAACTTTATTAGATAAGGAGAAGACACAAACAGAAAGGATAGGCAGGAGAAGACAGATGCATACTTCCTTGAGTCAAAGAATATCTAAGCTACAAGAGGCGAGAAACAAGTGTCCCCTAGAGCTTTTAGAGCAGTGGTCTCAACCTTCCTAATACTATAGCTCTTTAATACATTTCCTCATGTTGTGGTAGCCCCCAATCATAAAATAAGTTTCATTGTTACTAAATAACTGTAATTTTGCAACTGTTATGAGTCACAATGTAAATATTCATGTTTTATGGTGGTCTTAGGAGATCCCTGTTAAAGGGGAGTTTAACCCCTACCAGGGTCATGACCCACAGGTTGGGAACCCATGTTTCAGAGGGAGCATGGACAAACCAATACATTGATTTCAGACTTCTGG